TTTTTTATTCTACTCGTTTTTATTTTTGCATATTTCATGCTGCTCCGTTTTTACCCTTCATTGTTCTCCTTCTGTTACGATGGAGGAAGTTTTAGGGTTTTCATTTTCACCTTTTGATGACCTCTTCATCTGCTGATTCTATGTGAGATGAAGTTTGGATTGTGTTGCTTCACATCCGTCGGGTGTTTACTCTAATTTTGCAATTTTGTTCCTCTTATTTTGAAACTGATGAAATTTGTGAACCAGCAGCACAAAATTGAGTGTTTTAGAAAACTGCAAAGAGCAGGAGGCACTGACTCTGAGCAGCTTCAACAATGTTCTACTTTTTGTGACTCGAAACATATTTTCTAATCAGTGACTATCTGAGTCTGTCTGATGGTTACAGTTTTCTAGAAAGAAATAAACAGTTGACATACAACAAAAATACAAACTGTACAGAAGGTGAATGCTGGATCTCAGACACAACAAAGGTTAAAAACATAAATATATATCATCATTTTTGGAGACATGAGAGATTAATTCTGGAGGGAAAAAGTGAAACCAATAAAAAATGTACTTCGCAGAGTGATGCGCTACGAATAACGTTTCTGTGAAGCTTTGCCCTTGAAGGTTTATATGTTTAGAAGTTAACTTGAAATTCTAATGAACTGTATGTTCAAGTGGCTCACGTCCGACTGTGAACTTCATGTTTAACTACAGAAACCAATAACGTAAAACAGAAACAGTTAAAACTGTTCAAATGAAGTTTTGAATGTGTTGCTTCACATCAACAGCTGCTGTCGGTGGTTTCCTGGAACTTATCAGCTCTACGTCACCAGCAGCACTGAACTCAGTGACAACAGGCGTTAAGTGTAGTTTTGAAAAAGTTTGACTTCTGTGACTCGAAATATATATTTTCTACGTCTCCATTCATGCAACAGCTGAACACTGGATGGTAGATTTACCATAGAAGCTGAAAAGACAGGATTAATTAAACTCTAAAGAAATAAAGAAAAGTAACTGAGCGGAGCTGAAACTCACCGATGTAGAGGAAGCAGAAGAACGTGTGGTAAACGTTCATGTTGAGGCTCTGATGGTTTAATGCTGCTTCTCTTCTTTCTTCTCTGACTAACCAGGAACTGGTCACTTCTCTTCATCATGGTCCTCCTATAAACTCAGCTCTACACTCCTCCCCTCTTTATTAAACCGCCCAGTCGAAGCTCAGGTTCATTAAACCCCATGAATATTAATTTATTGGCAGCGCTGCAGTTTAATCAGGTCAGACTGTTGGTAGTTTGCATCGTATTAATTATTTTTTTAATTTATTAATTGGATATTTCAAAGTCAAACTTGGATGAAAAGTGACGGTTCAAACATGCCGGAGACGTCCAGAAACATTTTAATACGTCTCAGAACATAAACAACCGTCTTTGGCATTAACTTCAAACTCCCCTTTGTGTTGTGTTTTTACTACAAACATCTGTGTATTCTGAATAAGGTAGTATTCATCTCTTTTTAAGATTTTCTGATTCTTCTTCTGGGATTCAGGGAACTATTTTTTTTCTTCATTTCTGGGGGGGTCATCCATCCATCCATCCATCCGTCCGTCCATCCATCCATCCGTCCGTCCGTCCGTCCATCCATCCATCCGTCCATCCGTCCATCCGTCCATCCGTCCATCCGTCCATCTGTCCATCCATCCATCTGTCCATCCCTCCATCTGTCCGTCCATCCATCCATCCGTCCGTCCATCCGTCCGTCCATCCGTCCGTCCATCCATCCGTCCATCCATCCATCCATCCATCCATCCTGAGGCATTCCCAGTCCAGCCGAGAGATATAATCCCTCCAGCAGGTCTTGGGTCTGCCCCGGGGTCTCCTCCCAGGTGGACGTGTTTGAAAGACCTCCTGAGGAAGCCTCCTCGGAATTCTCCAAATCAGATGTCCAAACCACCTCATCTGGCTCCTTTCGACGTGACGGAGCAGTGGCTCTACTCTGAGCTCCGTCTGGATGTCCGAGCTCCTCACCCTATCTCTGAGGCTGAGCCATTTCAGCTCATTTCAGTAAATGGAGAGGTTCTCCTCTGCTGACGCCGCACCAAGCCGCCTGTCCACCTCGCACTCCATTTTTCCATCACTCAAACAATACCCCGAGATACCTAAACCCCCTCGCTTGAGGAAGCATTGGGGTTTAATTACATAAGTCTGAAGAACCGTCGCATTCAAAACCACTCGATTAACAGCAGATCGGCCGCAGTTCGATGCATAAAGACATTTATTCACCAATGAATGCTGACTGCAGCAAGGTGCGTCTTCAGCCCTTCATTTCGTCGTCCTCGCTGGAGAATCGCGGGACGTCACGAGGGCCGGCGTAGTCGGCCATGTTGTCCAGTCCGTCCGCCACACAGCAGCTCATGGAGCTGCAGCGGATCTGCATGTCTGCGACATGCGACCACGTCCCGGTTTCTGCGTCGTAGCTCTCAACGTAAGCGACATCCCCGGCGCTGTCGAGGCCGCCGACGACGAAGAGGCGTCCGTCCAGCACCGAGACACCGAAGTTGCTGCGGGGCTTCGACATGGAGGTCACGGCCCGCCAGGCGTCGGCGTCGGGGTCGAAGGCCTCGGCGGTGCTCAGGGTGTCGATTCCATCGAAGCCACCAACCTGCAGGAGAAACACTCAGACATGGAGACGATGCAGCTCCCAAAATGTTCTGCTCATTTTATACTTTGAAGGTTTAGGATTTAAAATACATTTTTGCAGCATTTCAGGTAAAAAGTAGAACAAAAAAGATTAAAACTGTTGATTATTGAAATTCCTGCCAGTAGTTTTGTTTTTCTTTTATTATTTGAAAACTTTCCTATCAGAATATGAAAAGGACTGTCTGCTGTCTGCTCTCAGATTTTTGCGTTGTGCATATCTTCAATTCAGTTACATCTAAAAAAAAAAAAATAATCCAAAGTTGAGTTTTATGTTTTCTTGATCAGTGTTTATGGTCGACTAGTTCGTGGCAAAGTGCTCCAACCAGCAGCCCACCAGTAATGTGAAGTTCAGCCCATGATGGTTCTGGCATGAACATTTAGTGTCAAACTGGACCGAGCCACAGGAACCGCTGACCGTTACATCACAGGTAGTCGCAACGTGTTTGCGATTCAAGATGGCGGACAGCGTGACCTCAAGCCCCGTGAAAACTCAACTCGTAGGTTAAATAAAACCTTAATGAACCACCACCAAGCATCTGTTTCTACCCCGTAGTTCTCAGAAGTAGCTCTAGTTCCTGATGATGTAAACTCTTCAGTGCTGTTCAGCAATAAAAAACCTTGAATCAGTTTTATTCTCAACAAGTAGAAAATGTGGTTCGGCCCGCTTTGGGCCTCAGCGAAAGGAAATTAAAACTTAACTAAGTCACCACAGAGCAGCTGTTTCTGTCTCTGGACAGTGCTGGAACATCTTTGGATGCATACAATCCAACAACCAAGATATTATTTTTGTTTTAGCAACACCAAGTTTGACCTCGTTTTTCTCTGAAACTGCTAAATGTGGTTCGGCCCACTTTGGCACCAACCACCTCAATTAACGTAGTAAGATGAAGACCTTAAAAATTTAAACTGTGAACAGAGAAACCAACAATCCAAAGTTTCCTTCGGATGTCCTTTGAGCAAGCAGTCTTCAGTGTCTTGTCGATGATGAGATGTTGAAACTGTCCATAACGCAGACAATAACGACTTGGTTTTGTAATTAAAAGCACAGTGTGTTGGCTAATTCATCTCTTTTTCTGAGTGTTTCTCGGCGCTCTTACTGCGAAGACTCGGTCTGCGTAGGCGACGACTCCATTTCCTGCCCTCCTGCTGTCCATGTTGGGGATCAGCGTCCACTGGTTGCTCTCTGGATCGTAGCGTTCAGCCGATGACAGTAACTCGATCCCATCGAAGCCTCCACAGATGTACAACTGAAAGAGGAGCCGATATGCTATCAATAACATGACTGAAAAGAAATGCCGAGTATCAGCAGCTCAGTACGTCTCGCACAGGTATCTGTAGCTCGGTATTGTTGGTCAGTGTCTTTAGCTTGGGTATCGGTAGTTCAGCATCTGTAGCTTGGTATTGGTAGTTCTGTATCTGTAACTCAGTATCAGTAGCTCAGTGTCTTTAGCACTGTAGGTGTAGTTCGGTATCGATAGCTTGGTATCAGTAGTTCAGTATCTGTAGCTCAGGTATTAGTAGCTCCGCCCACCTTGCCTCGGAGGGCGGTGCAGCCGGCGTGGCTCCTCTCCTTCTGCATGGCTGCGATCAGCGTCCACTGGTTGGTTGAGGGCTGATAGCGTTCTGCGGTCCGGAGCTGTTGGTATCCATCACAACCTCCCAGGGCGTAGATGAACCCGTCCAGCACCGTCACGCCGAAAAAGGAGCGCCTCGAGTGCATCGGCGCCACCTGCTGCCAGGTGAGAGCGCGCAGGTCGAACCTGTCCACGGTGTTGAGCGGCTCCACGTCCTGTCTGCCGCCCACACAGTAGAGCGACCCGCTGAGGACGGCGGCGCCATGGGAGGCCCTCGGAGTCCCTTCGTCAGGATCCACGCTGAGCCAGCGGTCGGCCCGGATGTCGTACGCCTCGATGCCGGCGATGGGGATGTTGCCGGTGCAACCTCCAGCCGCCAGCAGGATGGCGGGCGGCAGGCGTGGACGGGCCAAAGGGCTGCAGGACGAGGACTCGAAGAACCTGGGAGCCCGCAGGCCAAGGATGAGCTCTAAGGCGTTGCGGAGAATCGGCTGACACGCTTCGCTGTTCTTCACCGCCTCAGTTTCAGCAACGACGTCTCTGATGAAGTTCGGACTCATCTGAGCCAGTCTGAGCTGCAAAGAGGCAGGAGGATGAACTGGGGTTAAACTGGTGAAACTGGGGTTAAACTGGTTAAACTGGTGAAACTGGGGTTAAATTAAGGTTAAACTGGTGAAACTGGGGCTAAACTGGGGTTAAACTGGTGAAACTGGGGCGAAACTGGTGTTAAACTGGTGAAAGTGATGACACTGGGGTTTAACTGGGTTAAATTGGGGGAAAACTGGTGACACTGTGGTGAAACTGGTGCTAAACTGGTAAACTGGGGTTAAACTGGTGAAACTGGAGCTTGAGCAACCCGTACGGGAACATTCTGGATCAGCACATCCATCAGTCCTTAACAGGAAGTGACGTTCCTTCACCAGACAGAACTGTTTGTTTTTATGAAATGTCAGTATTGACTTTATTCTTTTGCATTTTAAATAAAAACAGTTTAGTTTTTATTACTCTTTCTGCAGTTGTTTCTGTTTTCAACTTTTTCTTTTCTTTCTTTTTTTTTTTAACTCTGAACACAGAACGTCCCTGAATTAGTTCTGGTCCTGGTTCTGCTGGTTTGTGCTCAGCACTCCTGCTGTACTGTGTGCTGTGATATTGTCGACTTCCGTGTGTTTCAGTGTCGCTTTCAAATTCTTCTTCTTATTATTATTACTATTATTATTATTATTAATATT